CCCGGGAGGACCTGGAGAGCTGGTACGAGTGGTTCTATGGGGAGGACATCGGGGGCCGTTTTCCCCCGCCAGAGGACCACGTCCTGGCAATTGCCGAACGCAACGCATGGCGGAAGATTCACGAGCAGATGCACGAGGGCAGCACCCTCAAGGCGGCCATGCTGTCGGTCAGGCAGGACACATTGTTTTGGACACGTGAGGTCTATGAGAAGATCAGGACCTTTTCCAGGGGCCGCCCACAAACCAGGACATCCATGGACTACGCACCACCCCAGAAGGGCAAGAACAAGTCCAAGGGCAAGGGGAAGTCTAGGGGCAAGCCTGGGAGCAAAGGGAAAGGTAAGCCCCCCCAGCCGAACAATCAGGCGTCCAGGGGCGGTAACAAGCAGGCGGCCACCGATCCGAAAGGGAACCAGTTCTGTAACAACTGGATGCGCGGGCGCTGCCCGGGCAACTGCGGACGCACCCGCAAGTGCAACCTCATCCTGGCAACGGGCCGCATCTGCCTGGGAGACCACCTCCCGCAGGACTGCCCGGGTTGACTAGGGGCGCTGACCCCGACCCCCGGGGGGCCTCAGGTGGCGAGGGCCCTGATAAGGCCCGGGGGGGCGAGAGGGGGCGCAAACGCCCCAAGCAGGCACATGAGCCCCCTCCTGCAGGTGCCGAGGGCCCTGACACAGGGGGGGGACAGGCCAGGTGGCGGCCATCCTCGGCGGAACAAGGATGGGGACGGCAGAACCAGCGTGCACAACACCCTCGCTGGGGTCAGAACAACCACACAGCTGGCACAACGGCGGCGCCTCAGCCCCGAGCCACGGGTGCCGAGGGCCCTGAAACGGCAGGGACGGGACGGTTCCCTGCAGGTGCCAAGGGCCCTGACACGGGGGGCCGCGCCCAGCAGGCCCGATTGCCGGATAACTGGCAGCACACCGCAACGCCAAGGAACACGCCCAGGAGGCAGCCGATCCCACTTCCGGCGCCCAACATCATCAAGCAGGACCCGGTGGTTTTTTATAAGAGCTCGGTTGGGCTGAATGAAGGGGGCCAGCGCCTTTCAGCTACCCCCCTGACAAGTCCCACGGAGCCGTCACCGGGATGGGACATCTTCCCGTGGATGGAGAACATCCCGGAGCGTTTGGTACAGCGGCTGAGATGGACACAGGGCACATCGCCCAAAGTTCCATCCAGTGGGCCCATTATTGTCCTGCTCTATGCAGGCAAGGAAGACCCAACTTCCTTGGACAGCTGTCTTCATGCCAACTACCCCACCTTTCCAGCATGGTGGTGGCGGTAGACATCCTACGATCGGGACCAAAAGGGAACCACGACATGCTCCAACCCGAGCTGTATGGAGCTCTCTGCACGGCAGCAAAGCAGGGCCGAGTGGTCTTCATTGGAGGAGGACCCAACTGCAGGACATGGTCCATCCTGCGCCACATACCAAAACCGGGGGCCCCCACCCCGGTGCGAGGGCGCACTCGAGAGACACTTTGGGGCCTCCCACACCTGGACCAGGCCGCCCAGACTCAGCTTGATGATGACAGTATCCTCATTTTGAGGCAGATGTACATCACCAGCCTGGCAAGGGCCTCAAGAGCGGCGGTTTCTCTGCCAGGGCCAAAGTCCTTCTTGGAGCACCCGGAGGACCCAGTGGTGAGCAGCTCGCTGCCCAAAGCCAAGGAATGCTCATCCTTCTGGATCACGGAGGAGGGGCAGCTTTGGATGGAGGAAACTCCTTGACAGCAATCTCCTTCGACCAGTGCCGCCTGGGCCAGCTGGTCAAGAAGGCCACTACGCTGGCCACGGATCTCCCAATTCAGGATTGGGATCAAATGCGGTGCACGCATCAGTCACATGTGGGCACCAACGAGTCCTCGACTCTTAGCAGATACCCTTGGGATATGATGGCAGGCCTGGCCAAAGCCATCGCTGTGTCACTCGCAGCGCCGGGGCACATCCGGATCCCCTCACAATTCCCGGGAAACCCTAAGGAACCACCTAAGGGGCGGGGGTCGGACCCCCCGGAGGGCCCTTCCCCCCGGGGAAAACGGGGACCCAATCAGGGAGGCGGTCCCTCCTCATCACACCAGGGCCCAAAGCCCGGAGGCAAGAATGCCCCGAAGCCCCGCCAGCACGGGCACATCCACCTTGAGGCAGACACCGTAAGCCCTCGTGGAACAATGAACCCAGACTTCCCATCTCCCATGCCCCCGATGGCCGGAGATGCGGAACAACTGGGGAAGGAAGAACATGGGGACCAGGTCCTGGACCGCCCCGAATGCCTGCCCGCTTTCAGGGTCCCACGCCTCATTGACCGAGTTGCGATTGTCCAATTGGGTTTCCGCTCACGCCCCCTGAGGGATGGGGGGGGGAAACCTTCCCCGGGGAGGCTCAACCCCTTTCGGAGAATTTCCCCTTTGGCTACTTTGGGCGCCCTGATCATGACCCTTACCCGGCCCTGGATTGACAAGGTCCGGATGTCCCTGGCATCAGGTGCCACCACACACCCCTTCCAGGAAGCCGACCTCGATGAGCTGCGGGCTATCCTGGGACCTAGGCACCTCCATGAACGATGCCCAGGGCAACCCTTCCTCCTGGACCTAGTTTCGCACTTGGCATCCCTTTCAGGTGACCCTGATTGGGAGTTCCCCCTGACACTGAAAGAGGGGGTCCCCTTGGGAGTCTCGGACCCTACCTTGACCTCCCCCGGAGTTTGGCCGACTAAGGAGGAGCTTAAGGGAGAAGCCTGGCTGGGGGAAGACCCCCCCCCGCCGGTGGCCCATGATAACTACCCAACGGCTGAACTCTTTGCCAGTGAAATCGAGGCAACCTTTTACGAGGAACGAGCCTTGGACATGGTGGACGGGCCCTTCACCCGGTCGGAGGCGGCAGAGAGGTGCCGCTGCAAACCGGAGGAACTTTGCCCGGGCCCCCTTGCGGGGATTGATGAGTCAGACAAGATCAGGACGATCTACGATGGCTCGAAAGGGGGAGCAAACGCACACATCCAGGCTCATACGGGGGAGAAGACCACTGCACCGATGGTTGGAGACTGCCTCCACGCCATCCACTGGCTCAGGACAGCGACGGACCATCCCCATCTACTTCGAGCCACGCTCTCGAGCACTGAGGAGAGACCTCGGGATGTTCACCAGCCGGTGCAGGGGCAGTCCCCAGGTGCCGAGGGCCCTGAGAGGGACCCCCACAGCACCAGCCTGCCCCCCAGGGCCGAGGGGCCTGATCGGGGCAGGGGGATGATGGATACCTCCGGCGGCCTGGACGTCTCTCTGGGGTCGACAATCTCAGGGAAGGGACCACTCCCAGGTGCCGAGGGCCCTGATAGGAGGGCCCCCCCCCCCGGGCACGGGGGGATCAGGGTGAACCCCTGATGTGGCAGCCGCCGACACAGGGGGAAACCTTCATCATCCTCAAGGCGGATGTCACCAAGGCCCACAGGCGTATAAAAGTGCTCCCGAAAGACTGGAAATACCAGGTGGCCTGCATCCAAAACCGGTGGTGGGTCAACAGAGTGGGCACGTACGGCATGGCCTCGGCACAACTGTACTGGGGAAGAGAGGCATCCTTGGTGCTCAGACTCTTGTACTACATCTTCCCTCAGGTGGACTGGCACTTAGTCTTTGTGGACGACTACTGCTGGGTCCTCAGATGCAGCCGGGCGGACTGGGACGCCACAGCCATCCTGGCTACACTGCTGGCGCTGGGAGTCCCGCTTTCCTGGAAAAAGACGGCGCTCTCCCCGATCAATACCTGGTTGGGCTTTGTGGTGGACCCAATCACGCCCTGTGTACTGCTGGCTCCAGTCAAACACGTCATAATCCTGGCCACTCTTAAACGGCTGGCCCAGGGGGACATCTTCACCAGCAAGGAGGTGGAACAAGCCCTAGGCCGTATTCAATGGGCTACTTCGGCATGCCCATTGACGAAACCTTTCCTCCAGCCCTTTTGGAGCTGGAAGAAGGCCTGCACCACTTCGGGCAGGCCACCGAAGCTGGTTCGTGCTCTGGCCATCCTTTTGGGGAGACTCTTCAACCAGAGGTTCCCACTGGCATCTCCGTTTGCTCCCACACTCCCATGGACGGGGGCATCTGATGCGGGAGCTGGCAGACAGGCGACCATGCATGGGTTGGTGGTTGGTGCTCGGACGTGCCCAACCCCGACAAGTCCCGTGTGAAGTGGTTCCAGCACAGAATCACACCGGAGAGCGAGCCGTGGGCCTTCACTACTGGGGACCCGCAGCGGGCGATAGCGGCCTTGGAGCTCTTCGGCCTCCTCCTTTTGGTGAGGGCCGTTCTGCTTTGTGCAGCCGGCTCAGCTTCTCACACTAGGATCCTGGTTGCTAGTGATAACCAGGGAAATGTTTTCTCCCTTCTTAACGATTCCACTCGCAGGATGCCCAATGCGGCCATCCTCATGGAAATTGTGTTAACGCTGCATGACCAGCAGGTCATGTTGGGGCCGTCGCATGTGAAGCGCGACTTTAACACGTGGGCGGATGAACTTACTCATCCGGACCCGCAATTTCCGACTGAGAACCGGGTCTTCCCCTCAGTCGAAAGCGAATTGATCACACTGATCTTCGCTACTTTCCTTCCTCACCCATGATGCCGGGAGGGCATCCGGTGAGGTGGGAGGATTCCTCCCTCGCTGTGGGAGTGGCATCAATCCTACTCCCATCAGCTGCTGAGGGGAGCTGCCCAGTGGAGCTGGGCAATCCTCCCAGTTTGGCACTAACCCTTATGCGGCAAAAAGGAGGCACCGTTTTGCGAATAAGGCCTCAGTAGCACCAGAGTGGTGCTTTGAAGAGTCTGGACAATCTACGGGCATGTCGAAGTCCAAGGCTTCTTTTTTTCCCATGAGAAGGCGAGCCCTGTCCTTTGTTTCTGTTTTGTCTTTGGTTCTCTCACCAGCCTCTTTACCGAACCCTGTTTCGGTTTTTGCTCCCGTCCTCTGGGCCCCTGGTTTCATAGCGGAAGCCCGAGGTTGGTCCAAGGCGGGGGGACCCGGAGCTGAACTTTTTTCCGCTCTCGAGAAACCACGGGGGGGGGCTCTTGGTACGTCTCAGAAACCTGGCTGGTTCGCTTCATTTGAAGTAACTCGTGCTCAGTTGTGGTGCTTGGTTTTTGTGGCTGTTTTTGGAAAACAGTTTGGACAGGTCGAAGGGTTTGAGCCGTAACAATCTTCTCATGGAATCCTTCAAGGGTCATCACCCTGTGGTTTGCAAGGCCCCACATACAGATGAGGCTCGGTCTTAAGATCGCAAGTAGGGGGCTCGGTGCTGTTCAATCCGCTGAGCCACTTGCAAAGCAGTTGTTAGTTTGTGGGGGCCACTCAAGTTTCCCGCCAAAACCAGGGCGCCCGATTCCCGGAACACCCTAGGATGGGTGCAGTGCTGTTTAATCCGCTGAGCCACTTGCAAAGCAGTTGTTAGTTTGTGGGGGCCACTCAAGTTTCCCGCCAAAACCAGGGCGCCCGATTTTCACATGTGGGCTTAGA